TTGTAGCAGGACCCTCAGAGCGGCTGGTTGTAAGCCCATCTGTCTGTGCCGGAGGGGCTGCCTGCCTGCAGCGCTGTTCTCTCTGGCGTACTTGCCCAAATGCTGGACTGGGCTATGAGCAGACTCTCCCCTGCTGCTGTCTGACATCTCTTTCTATCTTGCTCTCTCTGCTAGCGGTGGCTGGACAACATGGAAGCCCCTATGGATGTGTGGCTATGGTCTGTCCGATAGTACGGTGGGCATCATAGGTCTGGGGAGAATAGGTAAGTGCAGGTCAGGCACAGGATTTGTGTGTTTCCAGTGACGGCAGGGTAGTTTTGGAGGTTCAGCCAAGGTGGTGTTCCCGGTGCTCACCTCTTTAAAATCATAGGAACAGCAAGGACAGCTGTGTGGAGCCTCTCGGAACGGCAGTCCTGACTCACCAGGCCTAAACCTTAAAAAGTTTAAAGCATTCAAGCACATCCACTACATCTGAATGCTACAGCAAACTGGACATTGTCCTCTCGATTTTCAGTTAAACAAATGCCCTGACAAAGTCCAGGATGACACAGGCACCACCTGTTCCGTTGTGGACTTTGTCAGCAGATGGCCGTTTCTTTCCTCCCTCACCAGTTTGCTCCCTAGGGCAGCTTCATGTTTACCGTCCCGTGGCTCCCTTTCCACAGTTTCACTCTGGAGGGAAGTTCATTCCCTCTCACGTGCAGAGCAGCAGAAGACGTCCACCCCCACCCCACACCCATCACTCTCCAGGCTGGGAAGCAACCTGGCAGGAGCGAGCCCACCACAGCGACCCTTTAGCGAGCGACGTGCTCTGCCGGCTGCTGTGCTGTCGGCTGCACCGAGTGCGAGCTTGCCGAAGGATCGAGCCCGGAGGGGCCAGACAGACCCCCATGGCCCGGCGTCAGCCCGCGCGGCGCGCCTCGTGCATGCGCTGGCACAGCCGCTGGACAGGCTTCGTTCTCGCTCCTAGGACAGGCCGTTGCCCGCCGCCTAAAGCCGTTTGGGGTCAAGAAGTTTTTGTACACTGGCAGTCACCCGAAACCAGAGAGCGCCGCAGAGTTCGAAGCTGAGTTCGGTGAGAAGGGGGCCAGGAGCAGGGGTGGTGGGCGGTGGTCCCTTGCGGGGCAGCACGGAGTACAGTGGCGGGGATGGCTCCAGGGAGGTGTCACCCCACAGGAGTGGGCCAGCAGGAGGCAGGGTGCGAGCTGCAGTTCCAGGGCTGCTCCTCGGTGCAGCTGGCGTGGACCATGGGGGCAGCAAAGGAGGGAACTGCAAATGCCAAAGACTTCCCAGGCAGCGGGAGGTGGCAGGGAGGGAAGCCTGCCTCCTTTGAGCTGGGTGATTCCAGCCAGAGCCTGGGCACCCCTGGGCTCTAACAGCCTCCCAATTGTGGACTGTGGCTGTTCCTGCTGCGTTTGCCTTTGATCTTCCCCTGTGCCCATCCATTTCCCGTTCGTTTCCTTCCCACAAGGGAGTGCAATGTAATGGACAGGGAGGGGAAAGTGGCAGCTGCCCCTGGGAGGAGGGGACAGTGAAATAAAGCACTGCAGTAGTCCCTTTGGAAATGTGCATGGTTTCTGCTGGGTGTTTGCTGGTCCGTGCATCTGTCTTTCTGTGGAGGAGGGTCAGCCAGGTCCAGAGCCTCGCTTGCTTGCTGGCTGTCCTGGTTTTGGCTGGGGTAGAGTTAAACCACAACACTGTTGAACCTTACGGAGAAGAGGGTTGGTGAGGTCCCCAGGCAGAGCTGTGACCTGTGTTTCTCCACTCAGTCCCACTGATGAGGCTGGCCGAAGAGTCGGACTTTGTCGTGGTGACATGTGCTTTGACTCCGGCCACCCAGGGAATGTGCAACAAGGACTTCTTCAGCAGAATGAAGAAGACCTCTGTGTTCATCAACACGAGCAGGTAATTGCAACCCAGTCTCCTGCACGGGGGGGTGACTGTTACCTGCTGACAGCTGTGGTTGAAGGGGGATCTGGTAGGCTGTGAGATGTCCTTCCATTGGGTGTCCCGACAGTGTGTAGAGCCTTCATGGCTGCAGCCACCGGGACCGTCTGCCCAGCGTGTGGCCTGCTCCCTTCAGCCCGAGGTCTCTTGGGATCAAGCCAAAGGCAGGATAAGTTATTCAGGGGGCTACAGCCTCTCTCTCCTCCCCAGGGCCCTGTGTCCCACCCCCGTGGGGTGTACAGATGGGTGACTCTTGGGTGATGGGAGAGTGAGGCTGAGGGATTGCCCAGGAGAGGGCTGCGGCTGCCAGAAGCCTTGCTCTTGGGATGGAGCTGTGACGGCTCCTTGGCCGAGTCCGGTGAGAGCCTCCCGCTCCTGCTGCCTTCTTGCAGAGCGTGGTGGCAGGGCAGAACCTGTGCAGCAGCTGCCTGGGACACCTCGGGCTGCCTGCATCATCCTCCACAGCTGCCCTGGGGTCGTCCTGCGCTCCAGCGCCCGGCCCGTCTCCCCGCTGGTGGGCAGCCTGGAGCAGGAACAGCTCTTTGCACTGGGAGGCTCAGGCGCACCCAGAGAGGGTCTGACCTCTGCTCAGGCAGCCCTGGGGATGCAGGTGCCACCACCTCCACCTGGCCCGGGCCCGCCTGCCCCTAGGAAGCCATGGGACCCCTCAGCAGCAGTGCGGGCCTCTCCCTCTGTGTTTGCCAGGGGGGCCGTGGTGAACCAGGAGGACCTGTACGACGCCCTGGCCCACGGCCAGATTGCAGCGGCAGGCCTGGATGTCACAACACCAGAGCCACTGCCCACTGACCACCCCCTGCTCTCCCTCAAGAACTGCGGTAAGTGGCCAGCTGGGCGACCAGCTGGTGTGACGAGGATTCCCTGTCCCATTAGCCTGCCAGTGCACGTAAGCAGGAGAGGAAGGCCAGGTATATTTAAGCAGACTGTAGGTAGCCACCGTACAATGCAGGGAGCTGCTAGAGGGGAAGGCTTCATCAAGACGATGTAAAACAAGTGTGGGAGTTATTTTGATTCTCCAGAAAGCAGTTGAGATCGGCTCATTTGTTAACACCTTCCTGATGGATCTCCGTTCAGAGGGCCGAGGCATGGGGTGAAGGTCATGGAGGAGTCTGACACCAGCTGGTGCCTGAATGAGAAACCCTTTTGGGTTTGGAACTACCCATGACTGAGTGTCCATTTCTCAAATACAAGTTCATAGCTGTTGCTTTGATTACCTTTTGGCTAAGAACTCTTTTTCATTTGTTGCTTTGGTTCCCATAGTAGACAGTGTGAGAAATTATAAAAGCAGAGACTTTCTGGAAATATTTGCAGGACTTCAGAGATCTTAGAGCTCTGGAACACCACCAAGCAACACACAAATAAATATTTATGTATTTACTTTCATGGTAATGAAGCTTTGATGATTCTGCAACTATTCACAGATTTAACTCAAAACTGCCAAATAGTTTCAGCAGCTGGAGGAGCACGGCCTAAGTAGAGGAGGGAAAAGTGGTGACATTGCTGTCACTGTGAACGGAGGAACCCAGGCTGGTCCTCACTGGGGGCAGAAAGGACCTAGGTGGCCCCACAGCCGTCTGCCCCGGGGCCGCAGTGTGCTGGGTGTTCAGGCTTCTGCATTGCCATAGATGCTCTCCGTTGTAAAACAGAGGCTGCGGTGTGGGCTTTTGTGCACGCCTCGGGCAAGTACCTCCGCTACTGATGTTGTAATAATTTACCACTAAAGCAGCTTTAGCTCGTTCCTTTGCATTGCATAAAAGGAGCCTTTTGACATAAAAATCCCTGCCCTGGCTCTGCTACAGCACGCCAGCTCTGTTCGGCAGGGGCCGTCTGCCTCCACATGTGCCTTCCCAGGGCACCGAGGGGTCTGTAAATCGCAGTGTTTCTCAGCAGTCTTCAGGCTGTTGCCCCCATCACGTGTTGTTGGTTCGTGCCTGTTGGTGAACAGAACCTTCTAAAGCTCTGTGGCAGTCAGGCAACAGCGCGCAAATTCCACTGCGTGTTTGCCTGCCACAGGGACAGTATTTTACATCTACCACCATCTCTGAGTCCGTGCAGGAAGGCAAGTACCAAGCCTGAACGCAGAAAGAAGGACCCATTCTTGGCTGACTGTCTTTGGCCTGGGGGTCCTGAAGAGTATCTGTGAGCCATTTATCAGATGTCTTTCCCATGCTCCGTGTCTCCGCTTCCCACCATGGGAAGACCCCTGAAAGAGGCTGTGAGCGGTCAGCGAAGGTAAGAAGCAAGCAAGTAACTGTCCCTGTCCCCTGCAGTGATTCTGCCACACGTCGGGAGTGCCACGTATGCCACAAGGAGCACCATGGCAGTGCTGGCGGCCAACAACCTGCTGGCCGGGCTGCGAGGGGAGCCCATGCCCCATGAGCTGCTGCTGTGACGGCCAGAGCTCCTGCAGGGCGGCAGGACTCGGCGTTGCCTTCCCCTGGAGAAGCCTTGCAGACCAGTCCTGTGCCTCCTCACTTCTGCAGCAGTGTGCCAGCGGTGCCCGCGGTGAGGGAACCAAACCGTAGTCATTAAAGAAAAGCAGTGAATGTGTTGTGCTTATTTCATTTGAGAATGGGGTGCCCCCAGCCATGTGGTGGAGCACACAACAGTGTGGGTTCCGTGTTCATGTCGCTGCTGCACTCCGCAGGCACGGGATGGCGTTTGGCCCCAATTCAGAAAACGCTGCAGTGTCAGGGCCATCGTGTATTTTGTTAGCCAGCCTGCGTCGTACTCTAAGGGAGCTGCCGCTGCAGCAGCGCCTGTCCTCAAAGCCTCGCTCCTGGGGTCGCAGCGAGAGGCCCAGCAGTTCTGCACTTGAGCTCCCGGCTCGTACCCAGGAGGGGAAGAGAGGTAGTTGCTCAATCAGCATGGCCCCCCTGCTGCCATGGTGCTGCTGCCAGCCCACTGCCAAGCAAGCATTAAAGGGTCTTGCTGAATTAGTGCAGGGCATGATCTTTCTGTTCTTCGGGTGTCTACAGCAAAGCAAAAAAGGCCTGCGTGGCTCCCCTGGCATCTCCAGCACTGCCTTTTGTATCTGTAACTAATTCTGGGCACGGCTCTGAAGTGGATTGCAAACTGGAATTCATGCTGGGAGGTTCTGCCACCCCCCCCTGCTTCCAGCCCCAAGTCCCCTCCCCAGTTATTTTCCCGGACGTGCAATGGCACACGTTAGTGCAAAGGGAAACCTGAGCGGGGGCCAAGCCTCCGGCTGCCAGGAGAGCCCTGGGTGAGCACACTTCAGGCGCAGCATCGGCCTCACCAGCGCAGACACCTCTCTGCATCTAGCCCAGAGGGAAGGACCAGGGACAAGGTCTGGGCACCAGAGGCAGCCCTCTCCCCCCGGCCAGCCGGCCGCCTGCTTCTTACAATGACTGAAGAAGGGGCCAGATGCCGCGGGCAGCCTGCGACCTTCAGCCGGTACAAACCATCCGCACCACCCAGAGCGTCCCTGTGCAGCTCTGCCCGGCCGCACTGCGTGCCCAGCCAGCACCCCTGCACCCAGGCAGGACAGAACCTGCCTTGGGCAGCCCAAGGGCTTCCACCACACTTCGGGTCTTGGTGACAGCCGCTCACACCTGTGGAAATTGCACTAAAAAAGAGAGGAGAAGCAACACGAAGCCTCGGCTGCTGGGTAGACGTGAAACCAGGGCTTTTCTGAAATGATGGCGCAAGGGGACGGGGAGAGGGGGCTGCAATAGGCAGGAGGAAAGTGTCTCATTCTCAGTACAGGGGCTTGCTGGCGGTGCTCGCAGCAGCGCTGCCAACAGCCCCTCTCCGCCCGGCTCCAGGTAGGGGCTCTCAGGGCCCACGGGCCGGGAGGAGGAAGAGCCTCATGCTTCCTCCCACAGGGAGGCCACAGCCTGGCCAGACCCCTCCTGGAAGGCGACCAGCACCTGGAGCAGCTTCACTGCTCTCCTCCCAGCGAGTCGGGCACAAGGCAAATGGTGCGTGCCAGGCGGCCGAGCCTGGAGGCAGCGAGTGCTGTGCTGCAGACAGAAGGACGGACAGAGAACAGCCTCTGGAGGAAAGCCCCAGGACAGTAACCGGCCATAACATGCCTGAGCTGTTCAAGTCACCGTTCATTATTGTACAGCACAGGAAGCTTTCTGGCAAGGGTAGAAGGAAGTGCACAAGTCTGCAACGCTGAGAGCCGCAGCGTGCTGCTCTCTCCAGCTCTCATCCTGTATAAAAGCTGAGCAGGGTGTTGCATAATAATCCAAAACATTTCTTAAGAGACAAGAGGGGGAGGCAGCAGCTGGCAGCATTGTAGGCCTGGCTGCAGGGAGGGAGCTGAAACACAGAGAAAAGCCTGTGCTTGGGAATTAAAGTTCATCTAGAACGCTCTATAATTCTCCTGTCCCATGGCAAGTGTTCTCCATGCTGAATTCGCTGCTTGAATTTCTCTTGATGTTAAATGAACCATACTCCGATAGCAATAATAGCAATTGGAAGATGTTCATTAATTAGGTATTGACGCTGGCTAGTGAAAGGAAGACCTTTCTTCATGCCTCAGAGAGTATCTGACATGTTTATCAATACATTTTGATTTACAAGCCTTGCTGATTACTGTATGCTGCCCATCAGAAGCAGAAAGTGTTTGGAAGTTTCTAATGAGACCTCTGCTGCCCAGGGAAAGGTTTGTAGCCATGGTGGGAGATATGAAGGGAGTAGGCTCCTGAGCGTCTCAACTGTCTGGAAGGTTTCCAATTGACACAACAGCAGTCAGAAGGATTTACTCTGATGTGAAAATCTTGGCTGTATTAAATGGGTGCAAGTCCACCAGGTTCGTTTGCCAGTCTGTATGATTCTTGAGTTTTGGCCCTGAAGATTCTGGTATTGGTGAAGTTACTGTGATGCTGAAGGATGTTGACTAAATATTTGAGAGGTTATTGTGACCCCTAATGATGTGAGAAATAGTTAAGAGTAAATGAACTGGTATCTGAGCACTTGTGTAAGATTCTCCAATAGATGTGACCCTGTGAATAAGGCTGCCGGAGAGACTGAAGCACATTTCAGGTGTTGCATCTTGGAATTTCTTCGAGAAGAGTACCTGCTGCAGCTGTTGGTCATTTTGTCTGCCAGCCACAGAAATCACCAGTATAGAATTGTCGAATCATTAAGGTTGGAAAAGACCTCCAAGATCATCCAGTCCAACTGTCAACCCAACGCCACCATGCCTACTAAACCATGTCCCAAAGTGCCACATCTACACATTTTTTGAACACCTCCAGGGATGGTGACTCCACCACCTCTCTGGGCAGCCTGTTCCAATGTTTTACCACTCTTTCAGTAAAGAAATTTATTCCAATATCCAATTGAAACCTCCCCTGATGCAACTTGAGGCCATTTCCTCTCGTCCTATTGCCCGTTACCAGGGAGAAGAGACCAACACCCACCTCACTAACAGCCTCCTTTCAGGGAGTTGTAGAGAGTGATAAGGTCTCCCCTCAGCCTCCTTTTCTCCAGGCTAAACAACCCCAGTTCCCTCAGCCTCTGCCCCAGACCCCTCATCAACTTTGTTGCCCTTCTCTGGACACGCTCTAGCACCTCAATGTCCTTTAGTGAGAGACCCAAAACTGAACACTGTATTCAAGGTGTGGCCTCACCAGTGCAGAGTACAGGGGCATGATCACTTCCTTACTCCTGCCGGCCACACTATTCCTTATACAAGCTGGGACACTATTGGCTTTCTTGGCCACCTAGGCACACTGCTGGCTCATGTTTAGCTGCCTGTCAACCAGCACCCCCAGGTCCTTTTCTGCCAGGCATCTCTCCAGCCACTCTTCCCCAAGCCTGCAGCACTGCATGGGGTTGGTCCTGCGTGGGGCATGCAGGACCCCGCATTTGGCCCTGTTAAACCTCATACAATTGACTTCAGCCCATTGATCCAGCCCGTCCAGATCCCTCTGCAGAGCCCTTCTATCCTTGAGCAGATCGACACTCCCACTGCTGACCACAACTCTCTGGGCTCAGCCATCCAGACAGTTCTTCACCCAGCAAAGAGTGCACCTGTCCAAGCCATGTCTCGGCCAGTATGGCCTTACTTAAAGATTTTGTTTTCTAAAAATACTTTAAAAACTGTAAATAATAAAATGTTAACCTTATCTCTCTGCTCCTGCTTAAAGGAACTCGTAGGTTTTTTAGGCAAATCTGAGTGTTCCTGGTCAGAGCTGAACCTACTGACAGCAAAGCACAGGCAAGCCTTGTCGGGTCTCCGTCCAAGGGCAAACACCTCTTAACAGGATTTCTTGCTCAGTAAGTTCTGGATGTACTCCAGACCAACAATCCCTAGTCAAAACTTTGTGCCACCGACAGCTAAACAGCCAGCGCGGGGAGCTGCAGCAGCTCCCAGGGCAGCGTAGCTGTGCTGGGCCTCCCGATCACTGCGTCAGCATCTTCCCACACGGAATTCACAGAGCAACAATGACAATGGATTTTACAGATGTCACATAGACATTATTTCAGTAACAATCACAGTAGTAAGCTCTTAGGAAGAACATATTCTACCAGGAACAAAGTCGTTTTCGAGTAAAGTACAGGCTTTTATGATTAGTTGTTGCTAAGATCAAGGCTTTCCTTACAGGCCGACAAGGAGAGTAAGAATCACGGTGCAGGTGCCTCTCAAGTGGTCTGGTTTGGTGGTTAATTGGCCGATGGTCACAAGGAGACTTGCACTCACCTTGTGTAGGGGAAGCAGAATTTCACACCCGCCGAGTAACTTCTTCATTCACCGCGTGCTCACAGCAGGAGGAAGAGCCTGGAGTGCAGCCGGGGAGAGGCGCAGGAATGTCGTCCCTCTGGACAGGCAGCTGGTGGCTGCGGAGCCGAGTCACGCTTGCTCTTTTCAGCTGCTTGGAGCCCCCATCACGTAAACACACAGGCAGCAAAGGCGGTAAAGCTGCCACAGAAATGAGAGTAGTGGCTGGCAGGGGTTAGCACTTGGATCTGCTGATGCCCAAAGAACCACTGCCAGGGACAGACCCCTCCCTGGGGCTTCCTGAACAGCGCTATCCCCATTCTGGTGTGGTGGTGTTCTACAGGGTGGATTATGAGTAAGTGATGCTCGTGGGCCAACCTAGTGAGGTTACAGTACCCTGCCAAAGTCTCCGAGCGCGAGTGGAGTGGAGCAGCTCCCTGGCCAGGCACACAGAGCACACAGCCTTGCCTCCGTGAAAGCTTTCCGATGGGAAACCTCGCTGCAGTCTCCCCAAGTCTTTCTCTGGCAGGAACAGCAAGCCCTCAAAGGCGGTCCCGCAGCGTAAGCAAGCACCTGCGGCAAGCACACAGTTACAGAGATGTCGCACTGATGTACAGCTCCTACCAGCTGACATCTTACATCAGTTCAGTTGTTCCTCTTTTTAGGAAGCTCCAGACTGAACTTATTTTCAAGTATTATTAAGAAAAATGAAGAGAGTGCAATACAGTATTTAAATTGCAGGATGCTGCTTTTATGCGTTTTCAGGATCTGTTTAACTACCCTGATGTCTACGCCAGACGTGAATTATGCCAGCACGCCATGCAATTTAGTCTTACCAGCACCAATACATTTTATTAAGCAAATCACCAAACCAGCCTCTGTTGGTTGCCCTGTGCTGCAGACCTGAGGGTCACTGATGGGCGTTCAGGTGTTACCAAAATAATCGCACCATTACACGGCCGCTTACCCTTGCTCTCCTGCCAGCACAAGCACCTGCGCAGTCAAAGTGAACTCATCAGGCAACTGGGACTGCTGAAAACAATGCCAGTGATTTCCATGCACAAGTGGGGATGCTCCCAGAATCCCGAGGTTTCCAGCCTTTGTCTGATGAAGGAGCTGCAGGCAACGCGCCCTTTCCCATCAAGGCTGCGGCAGGAGCAAGTAGGCCAGCCAGCCACAGGGCATCTCAGATGCTCTGCATGAAACATCTTCAATGTCACCTCCAAAGCACAGAGCTAGCCAGAAGGCAGCCACACACACCGACGCAGCGGCTCCATGAGACACTGAACGACCCTGGGCCTGACCAAAGCCGCTGCGGTGAAGTCCAGCCGCAGTCGCTGGTTCAAACTAGCTCGCAAAGCGTTGATGGGAAAGCGCAGTCCCTCAGGACTTTACGCTGGCTCAAACACAGACCCGCTGCTTGTGGATTAGGTATGGCTCATCCTCTCAAAACTGGCAAAGCCTCAGCACAAAGCAGGAGGGCGGCCACGGGCAGCACTGTCTGCTTGGGCTCCTTCGACAAAAACGCGCACGTGCGTGCCCACGTCTCAGCCAGATCGTTGTGCAGTGCCAAGCGACCCAGTAACACAAGGAGCCCGCTCTGCTAACGAGCATTACTTGTTTAGTCAATCCGTTACGTGCTGTCGGCAAAGACACCAGGATAACATAAACAAGTAAATCAAGCCAGACGCAGCAGCACAAAAATGTGGGTTTATTGTCAGATATTTCATAATACGAACATACCGACATCTTCATTTGTGAAGTTGAATTCTGAGCAGGAGTCAGGGCGATACGCTCCTTGATGACGGTACAGGGTCTGAGGTGAGGAAATCTCAATGTACCGCAGGGGACAGCTACATGGAAAAACTGTTCTGAGATATTGCTTCATTCTGGAAGACTGCGAAAGCAGCAAGCCGGCCACAGGCTCCCGGTTTGCAGTGTGTTCCTCCAGATGAAAAGTGGAATTTAAAGTTGCTACTTCCAAAAATGGTCCAGGCTGAATTTTTTCCTTAAAGACAGACAGAAGTCCTCCTGCACAAGGTCTGATATTTCACAATTACATTATTTTTTTTTTATAAAAACAGATCAAAAGCACAGTTAAATATGTTTGTCTGCTCACATTAGTCCTTGCTCACTCTAATCTGCTTACTCACAGATGCTTTATTCCTCTGTGTTGTAAGAATTCAAGGAATTCAGATGTGCTATAGGGAACAATAGAAAATGTGAAAAACCCCACCCTACTTTTAAAACAAAACAGTAGGAATGCAGGGAAGATGAAACAACCATAGCATTACCAATAAGGCAACACAAGAAAACACTGAAGTACAAAATACTGCATTTTATTGATGTTTCAGTGAGATTGTTTAGTATAGCTCAATGCTGTTAGTCCCCGATACCAAAACTATTATCCAACAAAATGTGGCATATCCTAATGCTTTAAAAAAAATGCAGCACATTTTCTTAATGCTTATAAAACTGAGAGCCAGAAATACAACCATTAGATAAATCCTGTAACAAGATTTCAGCATTTTAGAGGGATCAATCCAATCATTCCCTGTGTTTCCATGCTCCTGTTTACCTTGGATGCTCAAGGTGCACATGACACGCTGACAGGCATTTGGCAGTTTTTCCAACGTGAAGCAGTGTAATTCGGGATCAAGACACATTTCCTCATTAGCGCGCTGCTGTTTCACATAAAGCCAAGCACGGGAAGATATCCACCTTCCCTTTGGGCTGGCGACAACTGGTTTCTGTGCTTCTGCAGCTGATCCCTGCTGAGCGGCCTATGGGGCTGCGGATTAGGGTTTTGTTTTCAGTTTATCCAAACAGAATTCCAAGATGCTGAAGAAGGCGGCTAACTGTTAGATAGCACGAAAACAACTGCGTATCGCCACACAGGATACGTTTGCTGTGGGTACCAACATCAGGAGGGGAAGGTTTGCAAATCTGGGACTTGGACACCAGGAGATGCAAACCCTGTCTCTCCTGAGCAGAACTGACATGCAGTAGCCCTGACCCACGTTCTATATGGCAGAGCAACATTTATCAGCAGAAGTGCTCCAAAATTTTATCTAGAACCTAATATACTGAACGCCAGTCATTAGTTCATGTGCATCTTTAACAAGGAAAAAAAAAGAGACTGCAGACAATGTTGGCTACAATGGCACCAAAGAAGAGGAAATTAAAACAAGATTGACACGACTCACTGGAAGAATAATGATCACTGATTTTCTGCTATGCAAAGCGTACAGTGCTACTTTTTAAGATTAAATTTATGCTAGATTTTTTTAATTTATGTGGAAAAGCACATTTATGACACTAAGTGGAAAGACCGGATTTGACAACTACATTTCACAGAGGGACATAAATAAATACGGCAAACGAGGATCATTCCTCACTGGTTTGATCTGAGGAATGACCCAGAGTTGTGAAGGAAAGTAAGTGCAGAGAGGAGGAAATTAAAGCCTGAAGATAAGAGTGTCAGAAAGGGACAATATCCTTATGCAACAACAGGATCAGACAGACTATCAGCATCCAGAAACAGCAAGAGACTATCTTACACGGTAAAAAAAGCCGTCACAAATTATCTCCCTCCTTCAAAATAACAAAGCAGACAAAGACAAGCTCTTTTCAGACTTGTGTGTATATAGAATTTTAACATAGGAGATACAAATGGGTTAAAATACTGCTAAGAATAGCATGAACAAGAAACAGTACTTCACTTATCACTTAATACAAGTTTCTACAGAAAAAGAAATCAGTCAGACACCCAGATCTTGCTGTATTCAAAGTATATATACATCTGGCAGTCCAAAAGTTACTTGTCTTGGGTTTAATTTAAGCACCTTCATTACACAGTGTCCTTTACTACAAAACAGCCAAACATACATTCATAACCCTAGAACTATTTTTACCATTAGCGTACTATAAAGCATTACGTCAGGCAGGTGCATCCAGAGCTGTCCCTCTCTTTCAAAGACACGCAGTCTGCGTTCGTTACAGTAAACAGCTCTCGCATCACTGTCCACACATAATGCAGCAACTTGTTTTACAGGTCACTCATTTAAATGCTTTCACTTTTACAAAATACTTTAAAAAAAAAAAAAAAAAGGAAATTTGCACTTCAGTTTCTCATTCTCGAAACATGCTACTTCATGAGACAACTACACTCTCACGCCTCTGCCCTGCAAAGGAACTGCTTGGCTTGAGGGATTGTATCCCCGCCAGCCCAAAGCCTGAGCATGCATCCCAGTAATGCTTCCCACATCCACAGCGTGACTTCCGAGCATCTCCAAGCTCTTTGCTCACAGCTGTTTAAGCCTCACAACACCCCTGTGAGGTAGGTACAGTAATATCCCCAATTAACAGAACCAAGACTTTTGTGTGTGTGGCACAATCACACCCAAGTGTTCTCTGGCCAACAAGAGCAGCCTCTGAGCCTGCAGCCTTGAAGAAAGTAGTGTTTGTGTTCCAGCGGTGCTTCAGGGAGCTAGACGTCCGCACCGGCATCCTCCTTCAGGCCTGGGGTGGAGGAGGTTAGAGCAACGTGCTAGGCAGGTTGCTGCTCTGCCACCTCAGGCAGGTTGTCTTGGAGTGTTCTGGACTGGCTGAACCCGTTGCCACACTTCAGGCAGGCGTAAGGCTTCTCTCCCGTGTGCACGCGGATGTGTTTCTTGCAGTCTGTCAAGGTCAAGAATGTCTTGCAGCAGATCTTGCACGCATACTTGCGCGCACCTTCTACAACCAAGACGTTGTGCTCCGATAAGGCTTTCTTGCATTTTGAAAGAACATCTGCAGACGCCCTTGTCAGTTGTGGCGGACCAGGTTGCGACGGATGCCCGTTTTCAAAAGAAGTGGTCCCATTCATGATCAGCTGGGAACTGGATGAGTTATCCTGCAGCTGGGAGCTCCTGACAGAGGTCACCACAGGCATTTTGGGGGCTATGCGGCGGTAGCCAGGAAAGCTGTTAGCTCCACCTCTTACTGAGCCCATCATTGCCCTTGACAGGGAGTGCAAGCCGAGGCCCGACCGTGGAAAATCCATGCCGAACTGTTCTGCTGCCCGGTATCCTGAAGTCTGTACACAGGGGAGACCCATCACGTCCTGCATTGGCCTAACAAAATGAGAGTCTGCGGGCTCACTAAATGGGTTCTCGACATGAGAGACGGTGGCGGACGAATGGCCACCAGCAGGCCCCGCCTCTGGACTCATCAGGTAAGACGCATCACTGTCCATTCTGCAGTCACTGGTGGTATTTGGAATGTTGTCATCACTGTTTTGGCTAGCACCGAAGCCACCACCTCTGCTTTTATTTAGAAAATTTGAGATACTGAAAGTAGACTTGTGTTCCAGGTTATTGGACACCTCCATGATATGGATGTCTCCCACCCTATCAGTACTTGACTGTGGGTCAGAAAAGCTACGGTCGCTGCTCTCAGGACTCAGTTCTATCTTCTCTGCACTCACCACTCCTCCTTCCACTTCAACAGACTCGCTGCCCTCCGCTTGGGAAGTGACATCACTCACCTCATCTTGAGGCTCTGGGGAACTCAAGGGCTCAGATTTCACCACCACCCTCATGTGCTCTTTTTCGTTCAGACTGACCTCTGGATTCTCGCATGGAAAGTTGCTCTTCTCAGAAGCAGCCTCCTGGTCAAAGCTGGTTTCCACCTGCGTTGCCTGGGATGCCATGGACATCTGTGAAATGTTTCCTCCGCTGTTGTCAGACTGGCTGGGCACCTGAGCATCTTCCTGAGCACTGAAAGACTGATCAAACATAATGGTATTATCCTCCTGGTTATCAGCAACAGCATCAGCCTTAGAGTTGTCCACAATCTTCAGTGAATCGGGCGAGAAGAAGTCTTCCCGTGAATGAACTACTGACTGCCCACTCTCTGCAGTCACATCGGAAACAGACTCATCCATGGTAGGCCTGATGCGCTGCCTGGCCCGGTCTTCAGAAGACTGTTTACGTTTATGGAGACGACGGATAGGAAAAGCAGTGCGCTGCTCAATGTTACTTCTCATCGAGGAGCTCATAGCATTTGGTTGTTCCTCTGCGCTCTGAGTGGAATTTAACGCAGAGCTGACGATGCTCAGTCCAAGCTGCTGGAGCATGAAAGACCTCTGCATGCGTGCATTTTGCTCTTGAACTCTATCACTCGGTGGAGACATCGGCAGCGTCCTGGTAGTAAGGTAGTGTTTGCATGCTTTAACGACAGAATTCAAATGTAAGTGAGAAGCAGCCAGCAAGACATCCATAACGTTGCTCTCCCCAAGCATTAGTGTGGAAGTATACATCATGTCTATCAGAGCAGCAAAAGCTTCTGCTGTCACCACTTCGCTGTCCAGCTGAATCATATTCATAGTCTGATCTCCTTCTGCTACAGTGAACAGAGCTCGGAAGTGTGTGCTACATGCTGCCAGAACAGAGCGATGGGCTTTGAAGTGCCTGTTTCCCACCACAATGACACAGTCGCAAAGCTGGCCATGAAGCCTCTGGTAGTTGAGCTGCTGAAAGATTTGCTCAAAGTGTCCTGGAAAATCCATGATCCTATAAAACAAAACAGAAAAAATTACAGTATTAAAAATGGCTGAAGTCCTATACAGACCACAGTGAAACCAGGTTTAAAAAGGAAAGATTACGGCTGACAGACAGATGAACAATAACTGATCGCAATTTACCACTGCCACATCGGTACTGTATCAAAGCTGACAATCTTGTGGAGGAGGATGAGGAAGAAAATGCAGGTTCTGCCATGGGGCTGACCTAGCGTAACCGCCACGTAACCGCCGCCTCAGCATTGGACGTGTCACAGGCAGCTCTGCTGCAAACTGAGTAACACAGGTCATTCCACCTCCGTTAGCTCCTGTCCAAACTAAAAGACACTCTTTAGCAAAACACTTAATCCTGTTTTTTAAAAAAATATCTAATTGTGAATAATCTACAGCAACTTTTGATAAATTGTTCGCATTATTAGATAACCTCCCGCTGACAAGTCTGAACTTTAGTTCTCATCTCTTTTAATCCAGCTTCACCTTCCGCAAATGACTTTCTGCAGTTTCTCAGCTACTGTGCAGAACTCATTCAAGCACCTGCTTTTCACACAGAAACATACAGAAGGGTTAATGGAGAAGAAGGGAGACACTTCTGCACAAGAACAAGTGGCCAGCTCTTATCTCAAACTGCCACCTTTAGCTATCAGAAGTGCAATACTGTTTTCTTATTCACTATAGTTTATCAGCTGGGATGCACTGAAAGCCCTCTGTTTTCCCGACAAAATAAGTAAAACGGCAGAAAGATAGAGAAGTTTGCTGACGTTACAAGCTGTCTCCATACCTGTTATTTCTTATGAACCTTCCTGGTCCACAAGGAGGTTATGGGAAGCTTCTGACAAAATTATGTAACACTCAACAAGACAACCAGACAAACTCAGGGGTGGGTTTTTTCCTTAAATTTCTGTTAACAGAACATAAGGCAAATCTTAGTAGACTTATCTGAAGATTAACAGGTGACCTTCAGCGGTATCTCTACTTTTCCTCATGACAAATCAACCAAGCATGAGATTTGGGCGACAGAAAGGTTGCGTGTACGGGCCATACACACATACACACTTCTGTGTTCACGTCTATGTTTCAGTAGCAACACCACAGTATCACGGTCACACAGAAAGAATTGCACTTTTGAAGAGGGATCAAACGTGAGTCTGCCAACTTAGAAATTCTGTCTTCAAATGCAGATGTTGTGAACAAACCATGTGCTGTATTTCCGTATCTGTGCAGTCACAAGGTACGTGAGTAAATTGCACACGAAGATTCCCATGGTCATGTCTGACCAGTAAAGCAAAGTTTGCTCAGAAATAACGTTTGCACTTCAAACTCTCCGCAGGTGTTTCACATTACACAACTTTGCTCAGAAGGTACGCTAAGGCCAGAGGCAGTGGCTGCCAAGCACACGCATTCGTTCGGAGGAAAACAGGTACAGTTGCTGATGTAGATTGTTAATTACTTCGCAATTTTGTTCACCTGGACGCACGCACATGAGCTATTTACTTGGACGGACCAGCAGAAGAAGCAAAAGAAATGCGGAGAGCAGCTCCCGAGATCCTAGGCACGGAGCCACAGCAGCTCGTGGCCACACAGGCGCCGTCAGCCTGCAGAAGCACAGAGCCTGCAGCAGCTCGAAGCTCAGTGCTCTGCTTTGCTGCAAGGCAAAAGGCAGCAGGGCAGACAGGGCAGACTCGGGACTTCCATCGTCAAGACACATACTGCTATAAGACCGTGCTGGTGAAGGTCAAAAGCAATACCCAGAAGGTCACTGACAGATTTACCCTCATGCATACGTAAGCAGGCAGGTGTAGAATTAGAAAGATCCACGGGTTTCTGGCAGCAGCTCAGCTTAAACTAGAATGTACATCTGCAATGTTCCCCAGCCTCCGATTATCACCACTGACATGGCAAGGGAAAGCGGAAGGGTTCTTGGTCCTCTTTTGTAAAGGATACACATCTTTTGAACTAGTTCAGGAGTTACTCCGCAAGCAGCATGAGATTAGGTTTCTCAGGAAACGACGTTAACGCACGCTCTGTGTGCCCTCGCTCCCTGCACACTAACCCCACTTGCCCCCCAGCCACAGCCCATTGCACCAAACCCCCCGCACCCCAAGCTCAGGCTGGGCCGGGGCTGAGCGAGGTTTCCCAGTCACCGCCATCCACTGGCAGAGCAGAGCAAGCACACGCTGAACGCCTGCTGGGTTCTCCACCCAGTGAGGGTACAAGGCTAGCCCCCCCTTTTCTATCAGGCCCACAGCTACAAGCCTTGCTGGACTTAAAACACCAGTCTCCTCAGTCAAAACTGGCCAGTGTCTAGCTACGGAAGGGACGGGCAGAGCAATCGCACTCCGTATCGCTTCTTGTCACTGAAAAACTCCTGTGCTGTCAGGGTCACAGACTACAGGCAGGTACCAGGTCGGAAGGCCTTAGATACAGGTACTCTGCACCTGCCTTGCGGCTACTACGGACACTACTGTGGGACAAACAGCCACCACTTGCTGATCCTCAAGCTTGCAAAATCCATTACGGGAAACCTGGACAAAGGGACCTGATCAAGTTTGCAGCTTTTGCTGCTCTTGGACTAACATCGGGCTACAGAAAATTAAGGGAATCAGTAGTACAGTAGGCGAAGAGACCTGAATTCATGCCAGAAGAGGTGGCAAACTAACATGAAAGCACAAAGACCAAAAACATCCGGTCACACAAAAACCTCCCAGAACAGGCTCTGCCTGCCTCAGCGGCCGGGCTGGAGCTCATGGGGGCGCAGCGGGTGCTCCCCAGCCCAGAGGCAGCTGGCATTCACCCACCTCCCCTTCCCGAAGGCACGTGGCATACGCGTTGCAGGTCTTTGCTGGAGAAAGACTTCACCATTGGACAAAGAACCTTGCCGCTCTCCAAAGGAAACAGGCTTGCAAAGAACCACAGTTGTACCTAAATACTGAGAAGCCAAAACTTCTGCTGGCAAAAATCTGTTGCCCCCAACTGTAATTGCTGCTTGTGGATTGTAAAAAGAATAAATAAATAAATTAAACTTTACACCTTCCAGCAGTAGTGAGGGTCCAGGCTTACGGCAGCATCAAAAATCTCCTAATCTGGCAGCACTAAGGCTATGATGCCGGAATGCCTGAAATAAGCACCGTAATGAGATTTAATTAACCACTGCATCACAGTCTCCCTTACAAATGAAGTTATGTAATAAAATGGAAGAATTTGAGTTTGCTGCTTTTTTTTAATAAGAAACAGGAATACAGAAAATAGGTGATTTCATCTTTCACTACGAGCGTGTATGTGACACTAAAAAAAAAGATGACATTTTCAAACAAAAAAAAAATGTTAAACAACACAAAGTTTGGAACTGCACAGTTTTTATTTCTACACGCTTTCTCTGAGAGAAGTATAACACAAGGGAAAGTGAGGAAATGCTTCCTGGTGCTTGAAGGAGGCGGGAGGAACAAAAACCTGAAACTCACTGACCTCGGGCAGCAGGACAAGACTGGGAGCCTGTGACAAGAGCCACGAGTCCCAGCAGGAAGTGTCTGGAAGGTGGCAGACCTCACCGTCTGCCTTTGCTGCTCTGGCACATCTGGTTAAACTCATGTCCTCCTTTGTTCCAGCAAGCACGGTGCAGGGAGGACCTCCTCTGTAAGGAAAGCTCTCCTCCAGGCAGGTGTCTGCAAAGTCGAGAGGGGACTGCCGAACAATTCTTCATTTCTCTTCTTTTGCTCACCTCTGCGACGGGCTAGGTGTTACGGCAGAGGTAACACTCCATCCTTGGCTTCACAGGACTAAAATACAGGATCGGGGGGGGGTGGAGGGGGAGCAACAGTTCCCAGAGCAACAAGGAAACTCCACTTAGAGAACCACCACTATAGCATCAGTGTGCTCTTGGGGGGTGTGGATGTTGATCAACTTTCTTTTCACCCCACTCCCCATTCAAGAGTCGCAGCTCCACGGAACCATGTCACACTCGTACGGCTAGACGCAGGACTGATCCGCATAGCATATAATGCCACACTGGCAGGCACCCTGGAGAACGTCAGGCACCCACCACACCAGAAGAACCAAAGGACCTCCTTTCCCTAAGGACCAGCAATGCAGGACACCGTAGTATTAACTATTAACTGGTGACTTCCCAAATATAACCACCACCACCACCTACCAAGGCAGCCAAGGCAGGAGCACTTTGCTGCGTCCCATCTGCAGCCAAGAATAACATCATTCCACTTGTACCTTCACTGCTTAAAGCACAGTGCCCAGCAGAAACTGCTCCAGCCTCAAGGGTTGTCAGAAGCAAGCTGTGCACAAGCACCACTGCTTTAGGTCATTTTAGGAAACACGCTGTAGAAGACATAAAATACCTGAGCACTCATTCATCCTCCTTATCAAGCCCATCCCAGGAGGTGGTGTGCTTCAGAAGTCTATGTAGTGAGATGTTCGAACCAATGTCCAGAGAAGGCTGGCGGTGGAAAACACCAGACCACATGAGGACAGGATTTCAGAACAGTAAAAGGATTGAGCTGGACTCCAGAAAGGAAGATGGGTTACAGGGATGGTTCAATGTATTTCTGCCCAGGCAGCAATACGTACTTGAACTAGAGAAAACAGGCAAGAGTCATCATTTTGACCAATGATTTGGGATTCGGAATTCAGAGAGTCTTTGCTTACAGCCACCAAAAACGATCGCATCCTGTGTGCACATGAAACAAGACAAACACCAGTTTTGCTTCCAATAACATTCATTTGGCTTGGCATTTAACTTTTAGTACACCAAAAAGGCTGAAGTCCTCGAACCAGAATCAACTAAGACAGACCCCACAGTGAAATCCACATCTTGTAAAAAATCAACTGAAATTAAAAAAATAATTTGAGTTGTATATATTGCATACTATACACACACCACATTTGGTGAGGAACCAGCTACTTCAGGTTAATAAATACATGCAATGCATCTAAGTCAACATCAAAAATATGAGTGACTTATTTCTGGATACGCACATTTGGTCTGTCCTCCCCTCCTGCTTCGGTGATACCTCGCCTTTCAGCAACACCTGGCCATAAAGACCCCTCTGAACCACTCGTGGGCTGCACAACCCCATCATTCCCCTATCAAAAATCCCAACACCTCCAGTATGTGACAGGTGGCATCCCATCACACGGTGTGCAAATGCCTGTTTGGATGCTCCCAACTGAGTAGCAAGTGGTTTTAGTAGCCAGTCTCTACAGCCTTTGTGAGGCTCACAGCCAGCCCCAGGTAATGTCCTGGGGACCCAGGGAACGTTAGGGGGAATCTTCCACTCAATCAGATCCAAGCAGTGGGACTCAGGGGAGGCATCAGCGGTACAAACAGCAGACACCGAGTCCAGCAGTGGGGAAGGGAACAGCTTAGTTCTATAATCAAACAACCAACCACAAGTGAAAAGAAACAATACCAAGTTGTTTAGCTAGAAGTAGTTGTATTATACGTACAAATAGTGAGAGCCAAGAAAATTTTAAGGGCAAGATATGAGAAAAACATCTATGAAACTTTGAATGGAAAACAACCGTTCTGCTTGTCCCTGGACTGAGGCCTATGAAGTGAAACCAGCAGCGTCAGAACCAAAGAAACACTCCTTCAGGTAACACAGTAAAGCTACAGAACGGCTTGCCACAGGCAAGTACACGTTAATTCAACAGCCATTACATAGATCCATTGAAGAAAAATCAGTTGAGATCTATTAAATATTCAGACGCCACCTCTACCTGGGGAAGGCACTAAACCACAAGTCACTGGAGGCACAGTTCTACATACCCTTACCTCTCTGACTTTCAATTTTACAGCTTGTTTTGGTATTTTCAGAAGAGTTTTAGGAGAGAACTGCGAATTTTTTTCATGTTAAGATTGATACGGTAAAAATGAGTAAGGAAGCATTTTCTCCCTAACATTTTGATTATATACTTAGAAGGATAATTAACCTTTAAATAAAAAGTGTGCTTAGTAGATATTTAAATACTTAACTTGCCTCTTCGCTGCTAGAGGAAAACATACCACAGCAGATCCAGCAGCCCAAGAGAGGCGAGGCTGCTGCTGCTCAACGTCCCCAGGTCCCAGAAGGAGAGTGGGAGAAGACACGTTCCCAGCACACACAAACTCACAGAGCACCCGTACGCACTACAAGACACTCTGTGCTCACGTAAGCACAAGCAGCAGCAGCAGACGCCTCATCCCGCTCCCCTCTCCAGCAGGGGAGGATGGAAGTCTGCCCACGAGAACATATATACAGGCGAACCAGGTGGACCCCTCCAGTAGCTGGACCTCCCAGCCGCTGTCCCCCAGGTCCCAGTCCCTCCATCCCCAGACTGCAGGCATACACCTGAGGCCACAGCCTGGCTCCAGCTGCCAGTACAGGCCATCACAGGTACACAGAGCCAGCCGGGACTGCCCTGGTCCCAGAGCTGACCCTCCCATGTTCTCACCCCCATAGACGCATGCGCTCTCACACACAGAGCTGCCCTTACGGACCCACAGACCCCCTTGCTCCCAGACCATTGCACCGGCTCACCCGGGTTGATCTTTGCTGGTCAGCAAACACTAGCGTACCCGCTCTTGCTCCAGTCAATGTCCCACAGACACAGGGACCCTCTGCCCTGTGGCCTGACCCCTGTGGCTGCACTCACACCAACCAGAGAGCCCTCACTCAGGACAGAGCCAGGAAGGAATTTAATTAGGAGCAGGAGAGATGGTGCTGATCAGGTGCAGGGCATGGCAAGGCAAGCGCGCTGACCAGCCAACTTCCTACATGTGACTGGCCCTTCTCATCCCCTTAGCCCTCTACATTTCCACACTTATTTCTCCCCAAATCCCCTAACCCCCCCGCCTTTGCCCCACCTTTGGTTCCTCCCCTAAGCATCCTGTAATAAGTCCTGTGGGATCCCAAGCTGGTTTTCCCTGCAGTCCATGTATCCCAGCAGCGGGCAGCTTGCTAACCTGTCAGACTAACCCTTAGTCTGACAGAGCTGCTCCAGAACTCACTGTGATGGGTCACACCAGGACACTGGGAAAGGCTCTGCTGGGACTGCCCCAGCAGAGGCCTGCACAGGGTGCTCCTTCCTCAGGGTCCTTGATCTGGGTTCCCGCCTATGCCTCTGTGCTCCTCTGGGCCCGCGATGGGCTGGCTCCAGGGCTAGGCCTGGGAGCAGCTCCACAGGATACTGTTTGGGCTCCCCCTCCTGCCATTGCCTCTCCTCTCCAAGGTCCCTTGGGGCTGTGCAGAGGAGCTTGATCACGTAACTGAACATTCATGGTGGCACGTAGTAAAATATTCCTCTTATATGTGGATGAAGACAAGGCTTAAATTTCTAAAGCTGTCTTCCACATTAAGAAAGCATCAGGATTAAAAATACCTAACTGGGAAGATGACGTGCAAGCGTTTTCAAATTCTAGGAAAAAAGACCTGCAATTTACAATTACACAGCCTGTTTATTAATCTCCCATTAGGTACCAACCTCAGAGTCTCTCTGTCAATTCCAACCAAGCTTAACAAAGAGGACATTAGATACTGAATTCCCAGATTTTTTGTTGAAGTTGGAGTCTGGTTACAGAAGCAGGCAAATGTATAAGGACTACTCAACAGAGTCATAATTAATTCCCTTATTCTCTTAAACACCACAGAACACCCAAAACCAGCCAGCTGGCTGGTTTGCAGACACAGCTATGAGCGAGGCACTGGTGCTGCCCTCGGCCCAGCCAGGCAGGTAGGAAACAGCAGGGACAGCTGGAAACACACTCACAGAGCAGGAGAGGAGACACTGTAGATTCTCCCATAGGAATTCAGGTTTTATTAGCATGTATTTCTACTACTTCTAATGGTAAAAATTTCTTCTATTTCTTGAATGACTAGTACTGATGGAACTATGTAGACTTACAGCCCCTTTTTCCATCAAATCCCTTGCTCTAATACTTAAGCTGCAGCATGATGGGACAAGGCAAGTACTTAAGTACGCTTGCACTGAAACTTCTACAGAATCAAAAACTTTTATCTCGCTCCTTTAAAAAAAGTTAAAATTAACTCACTACAAAATAGTGTGAAAAATAACAGCTCTGAACAATGATCTATTTAAAATGTTATCACTATGTCCAACACTAAAGGACAGTTTAGATTACACTGCAATCCTGAGCCACTGTCCAGAAGTCAAACATACAAAGTCAAGCAATCAAAAAAACCAAATGCAACCTCAGGTTCCCCTACAGAAGCTTTCAAGAAGTTTGCAAAGTAATTGATTTTGTGTTACTAAAACAAACAACAA